CCACACCCACCCACCTTCAGCACTTTGTCTGAGAAATGGTGAAATCACCACTAACTGCCGGTTTCTGAAATTAGACTGGTACGTTGTGCACTATTGTTGCATTTTGGGTAATACTGCAGATCTGTAGACCTATTAAAACATGGATGCTGCTATAGTGTTATATGGTTGGCCCAATGGGATTCTTAGGAAAGTGGGAATCATTTGTCTTTTCAACTACATCCTCCTCCTTTTCTTCTTTCTATCCGTCTTTACTCAAGTGCTGACTTGGGATTTAGTAGTATGTTTATTTAAGGACATTAGTGTTTCCTATGTCAGGACAGTGGGGAATTTTTCATACTGCATATATATCACGTTTGGTTATGGGCCTACACACACTAACACACACACACCAGTGGTTAGCTTGCAGTCTGAAATGAATATGTAAAGAAACTGTGTGCTACTAAAATAACGGCAAGAAAACACGCCTTTCTATTGAACTGCACGCAAATAAACAAAACATACATAGCAACCGGTATTACCCAAACAAATGACTTTCATGAGGTAGTTAATGAATCATTCAGAAAGTCTCACAAACTCACGAGCTATCGATTTTAATCAGTATGATGAGTCCACGTCAGACTTACATAACTGCAAGATATGATCACTGTTCATTTCGAAATGAAACAAGGTTTGTGAGTAGGGCTGCACGATATTGGAAAAAACTCACATTGCGATATTTTTTTTTCTGCGATATATATTGCGATATGAAAAAAAAAATCAGATGACTTCAATAGCTCTATTTGGAAAAAAAATAATCAATGATTGGGGTGATTTTGTAGGCGAGTAAATCAGCATAGGAAATAAACTAATTACAAGCATAGATAAATAACAGAACAAAGATACAAATGAAATAAGCAGTGCTTTATATTTTTCAGGTAAGTCTAACAGTATTCAGGTACAGAAATGGAATAATCAAATGTAAAATAACACTGCATAGTTTTCACTATAAATTAAATCTAACAAATCTGTGTTAAAGCTACAAAAGTGATTTTTCTTTGTGTTTTGTTGTTTGATTAACGTTCATGAACAGAGAAAGCAACAAGAACATTAAATTGCTGTGAACCAATATAGTGTTAAACATCCATTTTCTTTCTCAATTGTTTCCCTTCACCTAAGCCATAAGCAACTGTGTTTACAAAGATACTTGCAGAGCACAGTATTTCAGGCACAAATAGATGCAGAAGTGAACAGAAATCAGTGTTCACGTGCATCTGCGTGGCTCTCACCGTGTCTACACCAGGTGCGAGCGGCACGACAAATCCCCGACAGTAAACTGATGCTCATTCTCTTTATGACATACTGACACAAAGTTCAAATGATATGCAACGGTTGATTTGTCGCGTCCAGTGTAGACAGACTTTGGGGCCGTTCACATGTCGCGCCTAAAAAAACGCGTGGAAAATGCCAGCCACGCCGCTTTCTCCTTCTTTCCAAAGCGCTCAGGAGCTTGCGCTTTCGTGGCATCTGCCGTTGCTAAGCAACCGTGACCTGCGCTCTCCACGACGACCCGGAAGTTTCAACAAAGGATAAATGGATTTCCAGCACTAAAAATCGCGTGCAGTAGCTCTGCTACTAAATGTATTTAAAATGGGTATCTCTGTACAGCTGTCGCGTCCGGTGTAGACACCGTGTCTGTGTGTGAGCAACGAAAACAATCAGTATAAACATAACGATCAGTAGCCTATACTAAACATCGCACATCCTGCGATGTGACTATCGCGGATGCGCACATCGTGATATCGATGCTGAAACGATATATAGTACAGCCCTAGTTGTGAGACTTAAATCATCATGACAATGTGTATTTAATGATTCACAGTGAATCATTAATCATTAATTAAAATCATTAAATTAAATTATTAAAAGAAATAATTGTTTTTATTCAGCAAGGATGGATCAAAGAAATGTTTCTTGAGCAGCAAATCAGCATATTAGAATAGTTTTTAATGGGTCATGTGACACTGGAGACTGGAGTAATGGCATTTAAATATATACATTTTAAAATGTATTAAAATAGAAAACAGACATTTTAAATTGCAATAATATTTCACTTGTAAATATACTTTTTTTAATATTTATACTATATTTTGAGCAAATGTACACTGTAAAAATAACATCATATCAGCAAATGTTTTCCATTTTTCATTATTTAATACAAGATTCAACTAATTTTAAGTCAGTTTAATATCATTTAAGTTAAATTAACTTGTACAGCCGGTTTGATTA